CCCCCGCAGCTCTCATCTGTTGCGTGTAAACCTTTCCTCCGGGCCGTCCGCTGTCCTTAGAGATCCTCCAAGCTATAGCCCCGGAATTTGAGGCTGGGGGGCACGGGGATGGCGTTGCCCCCCAGGTGCCAGCTCCACAGCGGGTGAGTTTTGGAGAGGGCCCAAGAGTTTTTGACCCCCAGGGAAGAGGCAGGACACAGGTCCCCATCTTCCCCCACCACCAGGGAGGGAATACAGGGGAAGTTGCCCATGAGGCTGAAGGAATTCCGAGGCGGGGTCGGCCCGGAGCTGCCGAGGCGTTTGCAAGGAGTGTTTCCCTTTTTGGCATTCCTCCTCGGAGTCTTTTGTGGCCTCCCTTTAGAGGAGCTCTGTTGCCTTTCTGCCTCAGCGCCTCTGGCGAGGCGTCTGCGCTTGGCATTCCTTTCCGAGCCATTGCCTTTCAAAGCTTTGTTTGACAAGGTGCTGGGGCTCTCTGCTCTTTTGGAGCCGGGGGGTTTGAGTTCCCCGCCTTTCCCGGCCTGGTCCGTCCTCCCGCCGTGGCGCAAACTTTTCCCGTCCAGGTTGAACCCTTTGGCGTAACACCAGAGCTTGGACCGCCGGATCAACCGGTCAAAGTGCTCCCGTCGAGCTTCCCCCGCCTCCCCCGGGGGGACCGACCCGGGACTCCCCGTTACCTCCGGGCCCGGGGGTTGCGGGGGGGAACCCGGGGCCGGTTCTCGGGCGGGCGCTGGCCCGGTTAAAGCCCCGTTCGGCCCCTCCGCCCGCTCCCCGGGGCCTAACGAGGCTCTATTGTTCGAGGCATCTTTGTGCAAATCCTTCCCTTTGGCGCAGGGCTCCGCGTCCCCAAAGCCTCCCTCCTTTTGTTGCGGACCCCCCCCAGGGGTGCTGCTCGGGGAGGGAGGGGGGGAGGAGGAGGAGGAGGAGGCGAAGAAGGAGGAGGAGGAGGAGGAGGAAGGGGAGGCCTCCTGCTTTGCGTACAGCTCCGGCAGCGGCTGAGCCCCCGAGCCCAGGGCTGGAACCGGGTTCAAACTTTCCAAAGTTGATGCTCGCAAAGTCCTGGCCCAGAGCTGCTGCGAGAGGAAGAGGAGGTCGGGGTCGGGGCGGAGGGTTTTGCCCGCTCCGGGGGGGGGCTCGACGGGGCGCTCCTCGCCGAGGAGGGGTTCCCGGGGGGGCTGCGGCTGGAAGCGGGGCAGAGCCGCCTGCCTGTACCGGGTGCTCTGCACCGAGTCCCCGCTGCACAGCGAGCTGCTCTCCGACTCCGAGGAGCTGCCTTCCTCGCTGCTGCACGACGTGTCCCCTTCCTCCTCCTCCTCTTCCTCCTCCTCCGACGAGTCGCTGGAGGTGGCGGGGCTGGACCCCCCGAAGTCCAGGCTGGAGTCCGAGTCGCTGGAGTAACCGGCGGAGGTGCCCTGGCGCTTGGAGCCGGGAAAAACGGAGGAACGGCTTTTCCTGGGGGCGACGGGTCCCTTCTCCGCCGGGAAGAGCCCCTTGGCGCAGCAGGGACCCCGCTTGCGCCGGCCGGGGGGGGAGAGCGCGGCCGCCTGCGCGGTGGGATGCGCGGCCGCGGGGTGCAGCAGCCCCAGGTCGCGGGGGTAAGCGGCCAGGACCCCGGCGAAGAGTTCCCCCCCCCTCCCCGCCAGCCCGCACCCCCTCCGGCCCCGGGGGGGTTTCTGGAAAGCGGGGAAGGCCCGGTGGAAGGGCTGGGGGAGCAGCGCGGCCGGAGCCGAGCGCGGTTTGGGGAAAGAGGGGGGCAGTTTGGGGGGGGCGGCGGGGAGGCAGCACCCCCCGGCTCGACAGGGAGGCAGGAGCTGGGGCCGGGGGCAGGGGAAGAGCTCCCCCGGGGCCGGCAGCAGCAGCTGCTCCCTCCTCTTGCTCTTCCTCTTCCTCTTCCTCCTGCGGGGGCTGAGGCTCTTGCAGGAGGTGCAAAGAGCCTCCAGGTCCGCCTTGGAGATGAGGGAGCATTTCACCGCCCGGGTGGGCACGGAGTTGATGGCTTTGAGGGTCCGGAGCTCTTTGAGATCGCAACGACGGCTCTTGATCTTTAAGGTTTCCATCTTCTTGCTGATGGTGGTCCTGGGGATATCCTTAAACAGGTCGCTGAGGACCTGGGCCAAAGCAAACATCTGGGTGCCATTGATCTGTAAGTATCCCAAGTTTATCCCTTCGATTTCTTGGTAGCCAGCATGAAAATCCCCCGGCCTGGCTTCCCCATTGTAATCCATGGTGGCTGGAACAATTCCGAAGGTCCCTTCGCAGGTCAGGAACATTTTGCAAGGAGCATTTACTTTGTCTCTTTCAAAGGGGGCATTGAAAATAAGGACATATTTGTTTCCACTCCCTGATCACACACATCCCTACCCCTCCGGAGAGGTGGGGGAAGGAGGGGTGGGGGTGGAGGGGGAAGGAAAAAAAAAAAAAAAAAGTGAAAATGAAAAATTCTAACCATGTAACAAAAAACAGTGCAAATAAAGTAAAGGTCAAATTAAAAAGAGTTAATAAGTAATCTCAAAATTTGAACTTTGAGCTTATGTGACCACCCCATTAAATAAATTAAATGAATATGAAATGTCAAAGCATATCAAGTCTCTTCTGTGAGCATTCTTTTTCAGAAGAGCCGCTAAA